GCTTGGCCCAGCCTTGGCCAGGGCCCCACGGCCTCCCGTCCCCCACCCAGCCGCCAGTGGGGCCCGGCCCCGCCAGGCTGCGGTGGGCACCCACCGGTGCCCAGTTATGCCTTCAAGGCCGGAAGCAAGAGAGAGATTTCCCGGGTTTGCCCATCTTTAAAAATGTGAATCTCACAGAGGCGGATCTAGCTTTTAAAGTTTTAATAGGTTACCAATTCTCAGAGCTAGCCAACTATTGGTTTTTGCTAGGCACAGAGGAATCTCTTAGCAGCGTCTCAGAAAAATAATTTCCATGGGTGGCTTCTTCCCTCACCAAATGTCAATTGATGCAAAACCAGTGCAGCAACATGTACTTCAGATTCTCTGAATGATTTTCTAAAATTTTCTTTTATCCACCCAGTGGTTTTAGCACTTGCAAAATGCCAGTGTCGCATACTTCCATACTTCTCTTAATAGCATCCTAAGGGAGTAAAGATCATCTCAGATGCAAAAATTTTAAAAAGGGAGAGGTAAGAGGCTCAAGTTTACTGTGTAATTTAAGTGTGTGTAATGTTCTTGCTGTATCCTCCAGAAACACCTTTGTTATTATTTCATTCAAAGTAATTCAAACAGTACTCTGTGAAAATAATTCTTGAAGGAGCTTATACCAATGAACAAGTAGAATGTTATCAATGGAACAGAGACTGACTGTTCATCATGCCTGGTATATATTGCTTTGTCTAACTACTCGCCCCAGCAGACTTACAATTGTGTTCTCTCTGAAGACCCTCCCAGCTGCAAGGCCTGATTGACGGAATCTGTGGGCAGATGCACTTGCCAGACTCCAATAAAGATGGGGCCTTGGGAACATCTAAGGCAATTATTGACGGGCAGCAATCCACTAATCAGACAATTTCAAAATTAATCCCACAGTCCCTTACTGTATTAGCTTTCCTTCTTGTTTGTATTTATACAGCAAATTCATGACTTCAGTGAATACTCTCCCTTCCAGCCCAATTATGTATCTCTGAGGGTATTAAATTAAAAACAGAAGAAATATTGAAAGTGGCTTGCAATCAGTTTCTTTAAAAAGTGGTGTGGCACTTACAGGCTGGTGTTCTTACTACGATACTTGATAATAAAAGTAAACAGGATTTTTTTTTTTCTCATACAAGTAAGGCAAGTATTCCTAATATGCCTTGTTATAAAGCAGACTATATATAATGAGAGGGGGAAAAGTAATTTGATTTTGGAGTTTAATTATATCTTCATAAAATTCTTCTGCAGTAACTGACAAATCCACAGTGTCTCCAAATAACATAAACAGATTTTGGGTTGTGCATTTTGGTTTATCTTTCCCTTGTTTTATTCTGATCACTTTATAATACAAAATTTGATTTGGATTTGATTATCACCTGCCTTTTAAATGCAGACTGATCCAAACAGAACATTTCTTTCTTGGGGAAATATAGAACTATCTTCATGGTGTAACTGTTCAAATGTGAGTCACTGGCTAGAGTCCTTAGTTGTGTACTGTGTATCTCATTCTTTTAAAATTTGGAAATCTGATGCCTACAATGATTGAAGGATTGTTTCTGCAGATCTGAACATGAATGTAGAATTTCCTGTTTTTGTTATTGAAAATGGGTGTCCAAAGGGAGACATTACTTTACAGGCATTATTTTGCATCTTTGCATTGCTGATTACTATTGATTGAACAGTAAGAGCACTGTGCATTTCTGCTGTTTCCACATGCAGCAGAAATTGTACTATATTATTTTGTTTGTTCATGATCAGTTTCCTTTCAAGAGGAATGAAAATGAAAAAGAAATTTAACTAATCCATTGAAAGTCAGTGGGTGAACCCCATGAACTCATGGCCTGGAGAGTCAATGGTGCAGTGCTAACTGTAAAAAGAGTAGAAAGTATTTCCAAGTTGAGGAAGTGGTGAGGTGGAGAGTCTACTGAAGAGTCTCAAACTCCTTCCTGGGTGACTTTGGTGGGCTCAGCCACTTTCTGTGTATCTCAAATTTCCATCTGTATGGCTTCAAGATTTCCATCCTTGAATGAGTGCTGGGGGAAAAAAAATGTTATGTGCAAGCTTTATTAAAATTATAGAATTTATTATTTTCAGGTAAAAATAATAAATCTGTAAGGGACAGCAGCACTGGTTAACTTTGATCTTTTTAATAATTATATGTGGAGCTGATGAACATAAAGTTATGAGCATATAAAATCATCATCTACTTTGAACAAAAATTTGAATGAACAGTATCTGTTTGGGACTGTTTTAATCAGTCATAAGTTTGAATTGATTCACAGACATGCAGGACATGTGAGGCAGGAGTCATACCGCAGGTAAACTATTTTTGGATTGCATTTTGGATTTGCATTTGCATTATTTTGGATTGGAGTCTTGAACTCTCTTTCCAGGGCTGTGTGGCTTTTTGTCATGGAAAATGGCTAAATTAACACATTTGTTTGGTTAGGTATAATTTGACAAGAAGGCAAGGCTCAGGAGGCACAAGGATGAAAGTTTCTGTGCTTCTTTTATACTTCAGTGTTTAGCAATGTGCCTGTGATGATGCCAAGCTGCCTTTCCTTGTGCAAGCAAAACCCAGGATGGAGCTACTGGTAGACCTTGTTTTATATTACTTTTATTTGATTTATTGTAGAAGTTGTTAACACCCCATAGTTCTTTGAATAAAATAAAACAAAAAAAACTATATGGCTCAGCAGGAACATAAACCAGGGAGACTTTCACCTTCATTATGAACAAATTCAGCTTTTGATTACCTGAGGATTAACACCTCCATATGTAACAAAAGATGCATTCTGTGAGTAAGAAAGTCCGTAAGGTAACAGCTCATGCAATTTGCCATATTTCAATCTAGCTCAAGAGGATAAAATGGAAAGTGGGAGGCCAGAAAACAGGAAAGATTATCCAGGTTTCCACTTATCCTTATGAAGACATTTCTTAAAACCTATCAATTCATCAAGTAGATTTCATATGACATTATTAAAAAGTGCTTTAAAATTCACATATCCTCATAAGAAAGTAGTACTTGATGAATTAAGGTCACCACTCAGTGACATTTGGTGGATCTTTGCTCTTTAGTAAGGGGCTGAGTTTGGAAGTTGCTGAAATGCTTTACCAACTAATTAAAATTTTAATGAATTAAAAGGGCAGCTTTTCAATCCATATGTCTAGAACGATGCTCCTTAGACATGGGTACAGTTCAATTTCCCTGCTTATAGTGCAGTTCAGCCAACTGATCATGCTCCTCTTTGTGGGCATTTCTTTGTCTTCATTTTATATGTGCAGGTGCATTCAGACCATGGGCTTTACATACACCACCAGCTGGTGACAGGTTTTGGCTATGGTTGACCTGGGTTAAGTTAGAACTGATGACCAAAAAGTGAGACTTGACGTTACCAAAGCCTGAGGTTATTTGTTGCCCTTTAGGGATTGCTGGTTCTATGCAACAGCAATTCGGTTTGTGTGGCACAATAAACAAAAATAGAAAATGTGTTCATATGGATAATGTAAAGATTAAAGCCCATGCACTCTCAGCTGCACGCTAAATAGCTTGAGTTTTTATATGCTTTTAAATGGGAGGGCTGCGTAACATGACCCTCCAGTTGAAAGAATGCAGAATTGCTATACTCCCATCTGGATTATTACATTCAATTTAGGCCACATGAACTCCTGTGCTGAAGGTGTACATCTAAAAAAATGATTGTGAATTGAGCGTGACTTGCATAAAAGAGCAAGTTGCACCTATTCGTTCTTGAAAACCATCTGCTTTTAATTAAACTAACAGTTGGCTTGCCAGCCAGCTATGGGGGCCCCATCTTCTTTTCTGTATCACCCGACATTCACATGCTTAATATACTAGTAATTTTATTATGGAGCTGTGGTCAAGACTGTGGCTAAGGTTGCAAACAGGTTCTTTTATAAGCTCTGTCTTTTGTCTGCCCCACTAGAGCTTTCACTAGGAAAATTGACTTGAAAATTGGCAACATTCACTCTGTACTTCGTATCCATATATTTACATTCTCAGGCACGTTTAATTGTCATGCTCCCTGCTTTACTACTCTTTCAACTTCAATGTTAATTACTAGGCCCCACTTAAAATTAAGGCTTTCTTGGTGTCTTTTAGTTATAATCAAGCCCCAGGCAGTCAGATTACTACCACCACTGTGTATAACACCATTCTCAGCTGTGGCCCTCAGTTGCCTTGTTATGGCTTATTTGTAGACTGGAAGATCTTTGACTTTTCATTGAATTTGTTTGAGTATGTTGAGGGTTCTGATCTACAACTCAAGCCTTTTCCTTACTGCTGCCATTAAAATAAATGATAATAAACATCCAAACAATTTATAGATGCAACCTGACTCCAGCTGAAGCTGATGGAAGAGTTTCCACCAACATCAGAAGGAATGGTGCAGCTGTGACTTCCTTTTGTAAATGATCATGGGTGGTTGTGGGGACTGACAGTGGTCAAATAAGAGATTTTTAGGCTTCAGGCACTAGCTTGAGCCTGGGGGAAAGTCAGGTACACAACTTACTCTGGCCTGAGAAATCATAATGAGGAATCCAAACAGTGCTTAGAGAAGGAAAACAGCCTTTGCAGGTGTTGTTTGTCGCCTTGTTTTCTTGCAAGAAACGGTCAAGAAGTGGTGTTCCTAATTGTCCATTGATGGTGATGTGTTGGTTTGATGACCAATGAGAGTTTTACCTTTTTGGACCTGCTCGGAACCATCTATTAAAAAAATCTAGAAAAATAAAACTTGCTCTCTTTTGCAACTAAAGCTAGAGAGTCTGTGCTGTCACTTCACTGTTCCTAATACAGTGCAACAGGTGTTAAGTCACCCTACTATCTAAGTTAAACTAGTGAAGTTTTCCAAGTACTGTTTCCTTATCATTCTTAAAATTGCAGTCACCATTTTTGGCAAGATACTGAAGGTCTGCACACTTGAGTGTAGGGAATATGTGTATATCAGCTCATGGTCACACTGACAAAGCTTTTTTTGGAAACAATACTGACTTTGAAGACAGTTTGGAGTAGTTCTTTGTTTTCTGTTTGACTGTAGTTTTCTCATCACTTTTAATACGATAATCCAGCCTTGCTCACAGGAGCTAAGTAGTGTTAGAGGATTTGCAAGCAGTCAGTTGACTTTGGCACTTTACTGTGTGTTCCAAAGTGGATACAGCTTAAAGCAGGGTGACCAAGTCTCAATTTAAAATGCAGTACCTGTTATTATTCCAGAGGATATTTTTCCTATTCAGTCTGGTCCACTTTCATGCAATTTCTGAGTAATTATTTCTGATTACATATAGGAAAGCTGTTGAGAATCCTATATCCAAGAGTGACTTAACACCATTCAGACCTCTAAATAAGTTACATGTTCACACTCAGCACCCTCAGTGTATGACTAATTATTTAAATTGAACCAAGATCTTCTAAGTCCTTTACCTTTTCTTTTTGCTTTCATAGTTTTACCTAGATTCTATAAGGACTTAAGCT